ACTATAGTATATTAAGGTGATGCAGGATTTCTAGTATCAACAGTAGAGCCCTAAGGTGGAGGCAATGTTGAGGAGCAACACAGTGCTCTGCAAGCAGCTTTTCGGCTCGGATGGGGAGGAGCCGGCCGAGGCCCCGAAGTGGCAGGGAGGTCTGTTTGCTAAGGTAGTACTTAGGATGTCCTAAAGGGGGGTTGGTCCAAGGGAAGGTAGGCAACCTAGTAGTCACCATCATTTCCCAATACTCCCTAAGCTTCCTTAAGGTTCCCCAAGGCTCCCTAGTACCCTCCCCCTTGAACCACCCCCCCATAAGGATCCCATAAAATAAGAGGATTTGGTCACCCCAACCCATATGATGCGCACCCTGTAGGTATAAATTTGCCTACTGTTTTCGGGGGTTGGGGTAGCCAACATCTGATCATCATGAGCGGGTTTCGGGTTTAAGCTGAGGGCCTTAGGGTCTAGACCTAAGAAGGGTCTGCGGTTTGGGGCTGGGGGGTTTGGGGTGAAGGTCATTGTAGGGGGCAAAGGAGTGGAGATGAATATGTTCAACAATATATATGGAGTGCTGCGAGTATGTAAGAGTGACCCAGGGAGATTCAGTCCTTCATTCCTCTTTACATTCCCGCGGGCCTGCAGAAAGGGGAGGTCAGCATCCCTTTGTTCGGGACCCTCTTCCCATAGGGGCTTCTGATTCGTGTGTGGGTTGGACTGGCCTCTGCCTTGCTAAAGCCACACGCTTGTACGGTTTTTGATCATGAATGTGAGAAGGCTATGCAGGTCAGTCCACTAGGCATGTCCATGCGCCGAGGATGCCCTCAAACAGATGGCCAAGAGAGTGCTGCTAGCGAAAGAGGAGATGCCCACCGAGACAGTCGGCTGATGATGCACTGCGAACCTCTTGCGCATCTTGCGCCTACCTTGGGTCGTTCGCCTGGCTTGCTCCAGTCCGAATGCGGGTCGGGTCAGCAATGATTTGGAGCGATGTAGAGGATGCGAGACCATGATTCGGAGCATCAAACATTGTTGCCGAGCCGGTCTACGGATGGGGCCTGCACAAGCAGGGGCGTAACGTGATGCTCACATCGAGAAGGTGGGCAGCTGCTGTTGCTGCTGCTGCTGCTGCTGCTGCTGCTGCGGCGGTTACTGCGCGCCAAAGTTGGCTCCCAGCGAATCCAACAAGTAAAGATTTGCGCAAAGTGCCTTTCTTGAAGGGTGATGCCATAACCTGTGAAGCACTATCCTCCGCATGCACCCTTCTTGTCTCCAAAGCTCATGCTGAAGCTTGCTGTTGTCTTCATGGCCCGCAGCCATCCATGACTTCCAGTCGAATCAGGTTTCATGATTTAGTTGGGAATGCCAGTCCCCCCGTTGATCCGCGCTGGGGGCCCAGCTGTGAGACGGCTGTGCTTTGGCGAATGCAGGAAGTCTTGTCCTGGCAATTGGGGTAGACATGACAAAGCTAGCGCATGAAACAGGATGTCAGCACAATGTTTCAGCAGATTTTTCCAACCCATGCTGCAATACCTACGGCTCAAGCTCCGTACAACAGTTTGGTTGAGCTCAGCAAGGATGGATTGGGACTATTTGGCTGGATTTGTGCTCTTCTGCTTGTTGCTGTCCGTGATCTTTGCCGTTCTTGGCCAGTTTGGCAGAAACAGTGGTGCGATCAAGCACTGAGAATGACTTCCCTTTGCCTCCGCAGGCTGTGCGGAGGAGCTTCCGGAGTCTTCTTGCCGAGAGGCCAGCAGCGTCACGTGGTTGCCAGGGCTGCCCAAGTGGCGCTGGAGTCGCGAGGGCCTTTGAAGCAATTGCGAGATGATGTTGCCATGAAATTTGCTCGAGCGGCACAGGGATCGCCACCAAACATCAGTAGCGGCCAGCTTGTTCAGATCTTGTTCGAGGTGGGGGTCGCTGATGTCCGGACACAGACTGTAGGCGAAGTAGTGAACTTCCTCATGCAGCATGGTTTCTACCGCCAAACACATCCACAGAAGCGTGATTCCTACGGCCCAGTCCCGCCACCTACGCTTGGCCTCATGGAAGCCCAGCGCTGGGCAACCCTGATGTTCTTCAAGGGCATGCAGCCAAAGCCAAAGCCTTCACAAAATGCCATGGTTGAGGAGGCCCCTTTAAGGCCCATTTGCGGTAGTACCTGGTGTCCATGCCCCCCTGGGGCGACGGGAACAGACCTCTGTGCCCTGGCAAAGAAGCGCTGAGGGGGCTACCCTAGTTCGACGGACACCCTGAAATTCTTGGAGAGTTTCTACGTATTAGGAACGTTGCCGCATCTGGAGCTCAACCAGAGCATGAGCCAGAAGCCATCTCACCCCAAGACTCAAGGAGCCTTCGTAGCAATGGAGTCAAAGGACAGTCATGGGCTCACGGCAGTCAGCTGTCAGGCAGGTAGGCTGTTGCGCAATTTCAGGAGCAAAGCTGTATGGCTGCGAGCATCAGTCCTTTTCAAGTATGGCCTGGCTTAGGCTGGCTGCGTGACTGACAATGTGGCGTGGGCCGAGAGCTCAGATGCAGCGATGTTGCCATTGCTGCCGACTTTCTTGGCAGGTCTATGCACGACAGCGGACATCCTGTCGCACTGAGGGGGGGGGGCCCTTCTCCGTGATCAGAGATTGAAATTTTGGACTTACTTTATCATGTGATCATGGCGTTTTGGCCCGGCACATTCTGCAGCATGTCCATCAACCCATGTGCTTGCTGCAGTCAATTTCCAGCTCTGTAGAAAAGCCGTGGCGGGCAGTCGCCATTCACACGCAGACATGGCTTCAGCTCAGTGTTGGTCATCATTGGTAAGCCCAGACCTTCTCAAGGAAAAGCTTCATTAGAAGTGTCTGTAGCGACCGCATTGCTCTGCATACGTCCACAAGCCTGAGAGTGTGACCAGTTGAATTCCTCAGTGGAGCGGATCTTGCCGTGCTTCATGTCCACCTGCACAAGGAGAAGCACACAGGCCTTGCAAGCTTGTTTCCTTGGTTTACGAAAAGTTCTTTGCCATCTTGGCGAGGTTGTTGGCAGATCTGCAGGGGCAGCTACGTGCTGCCGGGGTAAGGAGTTATGCCTGACTCCCGCAAGCCAAGGCCCACCGTCAATGAATTTCCTGCCTGTATGTATGTATGTATGTATGTATGTACGTACGGTGACATTTTTTGAATAAGTGGAGGGCAGCCAACCCCAACATGCCACGGAGGTAGTATAAGAGATCTATTTAAATCCGGATGTTTTCCTGTTTAGATTCAATTCCGGATGTTTTTGATCGTGGGCGACCGGGCGCCATGCTTTGCGGAGGTAGTATAATATACCTGTTCGGTTGTTTACATGTCCGGATGTTTAAAAAGCGTCGCCGTATGTATGTAAGAATTTATATGTGCTGAGTGCATGTATCTATATATGTATATATTGAATGAATGAATGAATGTATGAATGTATGTATGAATGAATGTATGTATGTATGTATGTTGATGCAGGGAAGCCGTCTAAAACCTTTCTACAATCCTTTAGGGGTAGTGCTCAAGCCCATAATGTCCTGATCATCCACCGGTGCCCTTTAATTCCCTAAAGATCAGGCTATTTTCCGCTTCATTTCCATTTTTCAAGCTTCTTCTTCATTATAGTGCCCTAAGGTCTCTATGCTTGGGACCCGGGAAGCCGTAAACCCTAAACTGCCTAGGTTGCTGTTCAGGAACCCAAATTAAGTTGACATAATGGGTATATGATAATTAATATGCTTCCTGGATTATCGTAACTTACATCTAAGTTCCTTAACCCTAAACCCTGAACGCTTCAGGTATGATGTTGCTTTAGCTGCTTTCGCTGACGAAGCTCGCTGGCCCCAAGCCCTTGCACTGCTGCAGACTATGCTGCTTTAGGGCACGTTTTCGGTTTTGTGAAAAGCCCTTAGTTCTTAGTGGTTTTGAGTGTTTAGTTTAATCCTATTGGTTTCTGGGCTTCTTTACATAGCCACAGCCCAACATGTGTTGTTCCAGAAATTTCGGAACAGCCAAGGCAGACCATGCGCAGGCGAAAGAAGAATCCTACAGCATTCTGCTCGGCATTCTTAAGCTGAGATCTGGTTCTGAAGTGTATGGGGTCAAAATTTTCTTGTAAGTTCCTGGTGCGCTGAGTACTGCCACCGTTGCCATGGCTATTATAATTCATCCCCAATAACGCAAACACCCATCCCCCTCATAATGGATTTCCCACTGTATCAAAGCAGGATCCTGTATTATGGGGGAAATATTGTGAGGGGAAGGGGATTTTGTGCAGGTTATTTTGTATTTGAGCCATAGTCTAAGCTCCTAGTATCCCCCTTAATAACGCCTATAGTAGTCCCCTATATAATCCCCTGTATGACCACCCTTAAGGAGTTTAGACTATTGCTCATTTGAATCATGCCCATCATTTTTTTCGTTGTTTATCTGAACATTCCAAAGCCCACTCAGGAATCCAGCCAAGCGATGGTTGTGGAAGCCTTATCATTAGCTGGTCGCTGGGTCCGGGCGCTGCTTGCCAGAAATGTGATTTAGCACTTCGGAATCAAGTGCATGTGAGCTTTAGTCTAAACGCCTTAAAGGGGCTTATGTAGGGGAGTAAATGGGGGAGTATTATAGGGGTTACGAAGGGAGATACTAGGAGATTAGACTATAGCTCATGTAAACATCCCCATCTGTCGCCAGTCGGGAAGATCCAAGAGAAGCTTTCCTGCTTCCGTATCATGAGGCAGTGAGACTAAGCAATGACACCCTAAACCCTAAGGCCTAAACCCTAAACCCCATAATTAGCACCCAGGTCTGCAGTGAAAGGTATGTACGTATCTATAGGTACTACATGGTTTAAATAGCATTATAGACGGTTGAGGGTTTAGGGATACTACACCAATAATGGAAAATCACATGGAAGGTGATATGGAAGCTGCAATTACTGCCTAAAACCCTAAGCCCTAAGCCCTACACATAATAAAAGTTTCATAGCAAGTTTGAGCCGCAGATCCCTCAGCCTTTAGAGCGAATGATGCCGCATGTGCTGGCTGCAATTGCGAAGCTTCGCCTTCTCAGATTTGGATATCTATATAATATATATATATGGGCTATACAGGGGTTAAAAGGGCTTTTTAGGGGTCATGTAAGGTCATATAGGATTTTGTAGGAGTTAGGGTTATGATCTCTACATACCCCTTCATGTAGTAGTTTCCATTTCATTTTCCCATCTGATTTTCCATTGAATTCTCCGTTAAGGGGGTGTTGTCCCAGACCCTAACCCCTACAGGACCTTACATAGCCCTTATTTCGCCCATATGTAACCCCTGAATAGCCACTACATATCCTATACATCCCCTACTGGCAGGCCTCTAGGCCGCAAAGATGTCTGACGGGCCTTGTAAACTCGATTGATGTATGATGTTGGAGTTTCTCAGAGAGGGGACTCCCATGGACTGTAGGGATTTTTGAGGGATTATATAGGGATAGTATAGGGGCATATAGGTTTTATAGAGGTTTTATAAGGATGACGGAAGATAAAATGGAAACTATGACTTAGGTGGATTTTGGGGGTCTTTATTAGGGATTATCTAAGAGCCCAATGTAGGGAGCATTTGAGGCGCCCACCCCATATGCAACAAGCCTGAGGCTTGTAATGCTGAGCTCGCTGCGACGATGGTGTTCTGCTGAGTTTGAAGAGAGTCCGATCCATGCAACACCAAAAAACCGTTCAACGCACATATGTCTTTCCAGAACACGCCGCGGAAGGACATTCCATGTGGTTATTTGATGAGTTTGGTAAATCACGAGCCCTGTCTTGGTACAAAGCTCACAGTAAATAACTGCCAAGCAGCGCCAGTCAGGCTGCCAACACTACTGGACGACGACCTATTGCCTTCTCATCTCCTGAAACCAAGAAGACGACCCCATCTCGGTCCAAAGAAGTCTGAAGCAGTTTTCAGCTTCTTGTTCCTCCTGGTTTCTGCTCCGGCTCCATGATTACTTCTACTCACACAAGGAGTACTTTCTGTTGCCATTTGTATGGGTATAGCTTTGTCGTTGGCTCAGTTGCATAAGACAGACGCATCATTAGCGTCATCATTTTTATGCGTATGAACATCTCAACTGTGACCGTGGTTGAGGTGTGCATCGCGGCAACAAGCGCCCAGCGCCCTGGCATTGAGCAGCGGGGTCAATGCCTGTAGCTTGGCCGAAGCTGGTGAAAGTAGCCAATGACTTAGATCGGTCCGGCTTAAACTCTACCCCTAACCCCAAACCCTAAACCCTAAACCTTAAACCCTAAACCCTAAACCGTTGGCTCTTGGCATCTTAGGCAAGAAAGGTGCGCAGTGGTCCCTGGCTTTGGCCCTCCTGCTTGAAGCAGAGCAGCGCGCTCCTCAGTGGTGGCATTTTGAGTGTCCCTTCCTTTTTGTGCCGCCAACGCGGGCACTTTTGGGGGGTGGCGTCCCTACAATAAGGATAAATTTAATCTAGTATATTGGGGCGTATGAAGAAAACCCAAATTTTGGGAGCATTGTTTTGAGCTGAATCTCCACCGCTCCGCCGCAGCTTCCTCTCAAGCCACCCGGAGGTGGCAGGGGCCCTAAGGTGAGGGCCCCAACAGGAGGGCCATGGCTGATGCCTTGGCAAGCCTGGGCCAGGGCTCTTCGAATGCGAATGTGGCAAAAATCGCCATAGAGCAGCGGCGCCTCGCTTGCAGCCTTGGCTTCTTCAAAGACGCATGCATATGATCAAAAGCCCCAGGATTGAGCAACAGCTTCTTCATGGCAAGTCAAGTGATCCCGAATGTCTTGCCGTAGTATGCGTAGTCTATCTTCCAGGGCAAAGTTCTGGGCCTTGTGTTGTTGTGAGCTTGTTGGAGCTCGCTGGCAGCTGAGGAAGAAGAAGGCAGAGGTTGTGGAGCCACAGGTCATCAGTGAGGAGCTCCTCATCGAAGGTGTCGAGGAGCCCGTGCGTCCAGATGGCGATGCCTGGGAGCCCATTGACTTTCCGCAAGTCACGTCCTTGCGGCTCTCCTTCAAGAACATCATTGAGGCGGGTAGGGGCACCCATGAGTCCTTGACGCTCTAAGCACCGTCTGGCCAAGATATCCAACCTCAACAACTTCGACTCCCTCCTGACATTACGACTTGACAACAACATCATCGACAAGCTCCTTGGCAGAAGATAGAAGAAGCACGCTTCCTTCTTGGCGAGTGTTCAAGGCAGCTGGGGGAGCTAAGGATCTCCAATTTGGGTCACTTGAAGCAGCTGACTTGGCTGGACTTGTCATTCAACAATATCCGACGCTTGGCAGCAAGTAGGTCTCCGGATGCAATGCTACAGGAATGCCAGCAAAACATGATACTTCTAGGCCATGAGGTTGAAATTTGTGTTCGGTGACTCTGTCCACTACTTGCGCAGTCCCGTTTATGATTCGCATGCGCTTCCCAACCGTGTAATCCCTTCATGCAACTTGATCTTGGTTCAGGTGAAATTGAAGGACTGGACGAGTTACAGGAGTTGCTGGACCTGTCCTTGTACCACAATCAGATCGAGGAGATCAAAGGCAGCCTTGATCATGGGGTGGAGGGTTGCTCAGAGAGGGTTCAAATTTGCTTTTTGCCAGGGATGGTAGGAGCTGGGCAAATGAGCGTTTCCAAAAATTGTGCCCAACTCAATACTGCAATCCCAATGAAGGAGCCCCGGATGTTTTTTGGAAGCCCCATATCTAAAGCCTCAGCTAGAAGTAAATGACAGTGGAGATCTCCGCTCCGTAGAACTTGATGATAAATCGTATGGTTCATAAGAATCGCATAAACAAGCGCAAGAAACAGGACGGTTTCAATGACAATTTGTAATTTGAATGTCTCTTTGACAAGGAACGCAACATGGCAACAGTGATGCAATATGAAGTGAAGTCGAAGCAATAGCAGTGGCGGTTTTCAGCCTGCTAGACCGACTGGACGGCTGCCCCAAGCTGAACATCCTCTCCCTTGGCCACAACAACATGAAGGATTTGATGCTTGGGCTGTCTTCTTATCTTTGGCTAGCTGGGAAGAAAGGAATGGATCCTTATAGTAGTCCCTGTATAACCCATTATTGTAGTTTCCATTTTCTTTCCATTCTTTCATTCCCAGCTAACCGAACCTAAGTCTTAGCACCACGAATAGCTCACCTCATCACAGGAGCAGCTGTTTCATCTTATCCCGAAATTGTTCCTGACAGTAGACTGCCCAAGGGAGCGCATTTCCATCTCACAGCGCCATCCGAGGAAGCAGATTGATTACCTGCGCCAGTTTCAAAATCTGCGATGCCTCTGCATGGAGGGTAACAAGGTCTGCAACCATGACTCCTACAATCAGCATGTGTGACCTGGACTGAAGATGTAATGGCTTGTAGCCCACGCTCCAAAGTGAGATCGCTTTACCAGTGATTAGTAAGGCTGGCATATCTCCCGCACCTGAAGTATCTGGACTACATGCTCATTGACCGCAAGGCCAGTAGTGCAGGATCATGCTAACAAGTTCTTCAGAGATAATTTGGAGTAGACAGCAATCCGTAGCTCAAATTCAGTAGACCTAAAGCCAACGTGCTAGCTTGGCACCCAAGTCAGCTAAGCAAACTCAATTGCAAGAAGAAGGTGCTGCAAGATCCCCACGGCTGCTTTGATCCTTCATCTACGGTTCATGCACAGGATAGCATATTCAAGTCCATTCTCGGGTAGCTACTGAATGTAACTGTAACCCCTACATGATTCCAGATAATCCTTGAGCAATCCCCTTTTCACCCTCTGCAGTCCCAAAATGGTCATGATATTTACAATCTCTCCGCAATCCCTGTTAAATGCCCTTTTTGGAAGCCGTCGAAATCCCTGCTACACATTTCCGAACCCCAAACAAAGCTTCAGCAGCACATCCCTAAGCTCCCGAGAAAGGCGGGAGAAAAAAGACCTATGCCATGAACCTCAACTCCAATACATGTGGGTAGTTACCAAAATTCGGGTCCCACCTTGGTACCCCTAAATATTAGGTGCCATAATATTATCCATGACGACAAGGGGCTCATGATTTTGAGAACCACCCTAAACCCCAAATGGAAGCTTCCATTCTCTTTTCCATTATCCCTCTATAACCCCTATATAACACCTATATAGCCCTGTATACTATAGTAGCTTCCATTCTCTTTTCCATTATCCCTTTATAACCCCAATATAACCCTACATAACCCCATATGCTATAGTAGCTTCCGTTCTCTTTTCCATTATCCCTTTATAACCCCAATATAACCCCTATATAACCCTATATACTATAGTAGCTTCCATTTTCTTTTCCATTATCCCTCTACCCTGTATACTATAGTAGCTTCC